ATATATATATATATATTTAAAGTTGGTTTTCATTTTATTTTTTCAATCAAACAAGTTCTGAGTGAGAAACATATGAGAAAGAGAATAAAGAATCTAGTTATTTTAAACAATAACCAAGTCATATGATTAATAAAAGAGAATGATTTAAACAATAGCATTTCTTAAATTAATATTTTTTTTCAAAAACCAATCCCAGTATCAATTAAATACTTACAAACACTTAAAATCAAAGTACTCTCTTAACCACATATTGCTTTAAAAGAAATTAATTTAATTTAGTGCAATGAACATTCTTTTATCGATTCTTACAAAAAAATAAACACTATTAATTTCGCACAGTTCATGAACAAGGCATGTTTGAATGGCAACTGGCATTTGCGCACAAAAAAGGTAAACATTACACGTTAGAAAAAGTGTATGTTTTCTGTCCCACTCCATCTCCCTTACAAAAAAGGGGTTCTCTTTTTTTTTTTGTGAAGAAAAATTACTAATTATTTGGACAAATGATTTAAGAGACAAACTAAATAGGAAAATTACAGATTTATTTGTTCCTATAGGATGATGGATCAAAAGGTGAAAAAAAAATTACAGACATTTCTTCAAGAGAATACATAGGCTAACAGCAATCAAGTCCCTATTATTGATCAAGAGGAATCCACTCGAGTTCAAGATCTAATTCTCCAGATTCAACATTCTGGAGCTTTAGTGACATCATTTGTTTAACCTTACCATCAGTAATATTGACTGTGCTATCCTCAAGAAGTGCATTGTCATCGGATTTTAACCATTTTCCTATCTGCATATCGCCAAACATTCCAGCATCTCCAAATGCCATAGCAGATGTTATCAGAGACTGAAGATCAATGTCTGCTTCTCCCATAATATCATCAGAGGAAAATGTGTCATGATCAAATACTTTCTGCAGCACAGCCAGTTGATAAGATAAAGTCATGTTTTCAAACCAAAAATCAGTTATCTTCTCATGTACACAGAGCGCGAGACAGAGAGGAGGTCGAAAGAACAACACATAAAGAAAGATGCAACATATGAATAAATAAACATCTGAACATCAATGAGATACTAGACATTCATCAACCGCAACAGATATCTTTATTAGTTTAAGAGTTTTGAGGGGAAAAGAAAAAAAAACACTTCCAGTTGGGCTTGAAGTAATAATTAATGTTTATGTAACTGAAACCAGGTAAATGAAGAATGTCTAGACTTGGATAATGTTTATGTAACTTTATAATTCATTTTCAACATAAATTAAATTTTTTGCTTCCTTTAGGTATTATCACAAATTGTGTTCGGAATAGAACTGTTTAATTTCCAACTGAGAGAAAGGATGCAAGAGAAGGTAAATTTGATTGGATTACGTTGCTAGCAATACAAGTAACTTGTTTTGCAAGTTAAAAGGTGTTGGACGTTGAAGAATGAGGAGCTCATTTTATTTAAGCGATGTGGCTATATATAATAGAACACCCATAAAATAGTGTCTGCTTTTCACAACATCAAAATTCTAACATACCAATTTCATCTGCCCATAATGCTCTGGAACAGACAGCATGTATTCCTCATTCCAGACTGGATTCAGGTTACTACTCACTACAGATGTCTGGACAGTCTATAGGCATTAAGATATAGCAGCAAATTAGTTTCAGAAAGAAAATTACAACCTTCTGATTTTACAACTATAAATAGAAGATACGGAGCAATAGTATCCCAAGATCATTAAGTTGCACCAACCTGTTGGCCAAGGCTCAAAATGACATACGGATCACTTGACTTTATGTCCCTGATAGCTAAATTTGTGCCTTTAATTACTTTCACCTTCAACAGTCCAATAAATTCTACCATACCTTCCTGTTTTTGACACCAATATTAGTCATATTATCATTCGTGAGGATAACTGCATTGCCAATGCCGTGAAACTAGTAAAGTTGGATAATGCAGCATGCTTCATCTCATCTATATTAACTATTTTTTGTTAGAAAGGCTTTTTCATCTTGTCTAACAACACCTCAATTCAATAAAAAATCTATTTTACAAACAAAAAGATAATTTCTCAAAAATTGGTCCTTATATTTTTCCCCCCACACATCTGAAGAACTAACACATAACATGAAGTTACCTGTCTCTCTGTACCACTAGTACTTCTAAAACTATCCTTAGCACTCTTTGTAGAACTTGATTCTAGACTGCTTTTTCCAGATATAATGCGCAAACTCGGTTTCAGAAATTCTTGAAATTCATACTTTGACCTGTAGTTCAAATGGTCA